CCCGCCGCAGGCGGGCGTTGTCCCAGCCTGGGCTGTTGAGAGCGACGGGAGGCGGCCGGCCTCAGCGGGGTGCGGCCGCAGTCGATGTCAGCAGCAGCAGCAGCAGCCTCGGCTGCGCCCAGCCTCGGCGGGGCCGCGCCCCGTGTCCAGCGCCCCGCAGCCCCGGGGGTGCGTGGGTGGCCGCCCGGGCATGGGGCTGTCAGAGGCGCGGCGCGAGGCGGAGACGCGCGCCAGCGACCTTGCAGCGGTGCGCGGCTTGCTGTGATTGAGGATGGCAGTGTGCGAGTCCGTCTGTATAGTACGATATCAATTTGAGTTTGAAGAAGGATGGCTGGCCACAAATGCAGCTGAGGGCAAGCGTATCAGCTGAGTGTGTCAGACCGTTGGGCGTCAGGCGAGGCTTGTTACCATGGCTTCCACACTGTGAAGCTTTTCAACAACATGACTCAGATGCACTCGTCTGCGTGATGCTATGATTTGTGTACGACAGTGTCATGACATGTGTGCATGCAGGCAGCCGCAAGGGTCTGGGGGTGCATAAATGTGCAGTGTTGTGCTAAGCGGGATGACGCCACTACCGCGCGCGCCGCCGTGACCATCGGCGCGCACAGGCGCGCATGGCGTGTGATATATGGAAGGCAGCAATTTTGCGTGAACATGAGATTAGCGATGCCTGCGCCAATGGCGCCTGCATTGTTCGTTGTCAACAAAATAGAGAGCAGCCGCCCTCCTGCCGCATGCTCCAGCTGGCTCCAGGGGAGGAAGGGGGGTTGGAGGAGTGGAGAGGAGCACCGCATCCCAAGAGCAGCGCTGGCGAGGAATTCGGGCCATACTGCATGGCATGATGCGAAGCGCTCGCATCCGCTGTGCCCATACATGCTTGTGTGCGTGCACCCAGTGCTGAGTATGTGTTTATGATTGTGAGTGCGTGTGTGTGGCGCGACAGTGCATGAAAGAGAGTGACAAAATAGAGAGTGCTGTAAGAACAAAGTTGGTGCCAAATGCTCGTTCCCTGCATCAGCCCACGCTCCTCGCCGACGGCAGCGCGCTGGAGCCGCGCGACGCGCGATCCGACATTCCTCTCCCTTTGGCCGCACAGTGCCTCTGGACTCAACAGGCAAGTACACCCGCCCCTTCCCCTATGATTCTGACAGCGCTGTCCAGGCTCGAGCCGCGCCGCGCCACGCCCGCCCCACTCGCGCCGCGCCGCGCCGCCGCCTGCCGTGCTAGGCCCCGTACTGCCGCCCGTCGCGCTAGGCCTTGGCCTGCGCGGTGGAGCTGGCTGTCAGGTCAATGGTCACCGCCTTAGGCTGGTCGCCCTCCGCCTTGGACTCCTTGATCACGTCCACCTCAGCCCTGGGGCTGCCCGCGAGATCTTTGGGGGCCTCCGGCTTGGGAAGCTGAGCGGGCAGCTTGATCTCTGCGGGGGCGGGCAGCGCAGGGAGTGGGGTGTCAGGCGGGCGTGCGTTTGGGTGAGGGGGCAGACATGCGGGGGAGGGCGGCCGCCGGGCGCTGACACATGAGGGGGCAGCTGTGTTCACGCGCGCAGCAACCCGCAAGCGTCTCGAGAAGAGGGGCTGTGCGCCCGACGCAGCCGCGGCTTGCGGACACCCCTCGTGCCGTGTCCCGCCCTCCTGCCGGCTGCAGCCTCTGTCAACATCAAGAAGCGCACCTCCCAGAGGGTCCACGATGCCCCGATTCTGGGAGAGGTCGTAGCCAGCAAGCAGCGCGCTGACGGCGAACAGCACAAAGTTGATGAACGCGGCCGCAGCCACAAAGTTGAACGCCACGCAGACGCCCTTCTCCTGGCCCTTCAGTGGCGCCGCCGCCAGGCGGCGGCGGCCAAAGGGGTTTGCGATCCCGCTGTAGTCAGACATGCCTGTGGCCTGCACGGGCGCGGGCGCGCTCGCGAACCGCGGCGCGGCGGGCGGCGGCGCGGCGGGGGCGGCGCCGGGGCCGAGGCCGGTAGTGAGTCCCATCGGGTCGGTGACTGCGCCGTTGCCGCCGGCCAGCCCGCCCATAGCCGCCCGCTGAGCGACGCTGAGGCCAGCGCCTGGGGGCACGCCTGCGCTCGCGGGCGCGGCGCCGAGGCCAGCGCCGCCGAGGTCGCTGGTGCTGAGGCCGCTGCTGGCGCCAAGCCCGCCGCTGCCGAGGCCGCTGCTGCTGAGGCCGCTGCTGGTGGGGCCGCTGCTGGCGCCAAGGCCTGTGCTGCCGAGACCGCCGCTGCCGAGACCGCTGCTGGCGCCAAGGCCGGTGCTGCCGAGGCTGCTGCTGCCGAAACCGCTGCTGGCGCCAAGACCGCTGCTGCTGAGGCCGCTGAGCCCGCTGAGGCCGCTGCTGCTAAGGACGCTGCTGAGGCTGCTAGCGGTGAGGCCTCCGGTGCTGAGGGTGAGGCCTCCGCTGCTGAGGCCAGTGCCCACACCCCCCAGGCCGCCCCCCAACCCCGCGCCGCCGCCGCGGAGCCCGCCGTTCAGGCCAGCGCCCGCCCCGAGGCCGCCACCGCCGCTGAGCCCGCCCGCGGGCGCGCCGCTCGGGCTGTCGTTAAGGGGGCTGGACGCGTCCAGGGCGTTCGGGGTGGCCGGGGGCTCTATGCTCTTGGTGAGGGTCGCGCAGCTGCCATAGCCGAGCATCCAGGCAAACAGGGCGGCGCATGTGATGGCCAAGATCCCGGACAGCAGAATGTCCACTATGCCTGGGAGCCACCTGGGGTGGGGGCAGGGCGGGGGCGAGCGTGTGCTTCAGTGCGCGCGGGTGTTTTGAGCTGCGGGCGCGCCCGGTGACGCGAGCGGGCGCGCATGTCAATCGCGATGCCGCTGGCGCAGTGGGAATTGAGGGCGACTGCCGGTGAAGAACGAGCGCGCCCGTGCATGCGTGTGCTCACCTCCAGAGCCGTGGCGTGTTGGGCCCAAACAAGTACAGCGCGACCACAACCATCCCTAGCAACGAGATTGCAAGCCCAAACGCAGCACCCGCAGTGTACCTGGGGAGACAGCAGCAATAGGGCGGGAGCGGCGAGCACGGGATCAAGCTGAATGCTACGCGGCCAGGATTTTGGGGTAGGTACTGCTTGTGTCGTCGCCACTGCTTGTGGCATTGATGTTCGCATCAGCGAGCGGCGGCGGCGGCGGCGGCGGCGGCGGCGGCGGCAGCCTCGCGCGGATCGACTGCATGCGTTGGGCATGCAGCGCGCTGCTGATGCGTATCGCCTATGAGGCAACGCATGGGGCGGGCTGCAAAAGACTCGCGGGGTCGGTCATGCGCCGGGGTGCGGCCGCTGGGCCCCTCACTTGGAGGGGCTACCGCCAATGTTTAGGACGCGCGCCGAGGCCGCCATCATCGCGAACAGCATGACAACCTGCGGATTGCGGCGCGCATGGATGCATATGCTTTTTGAAGCACCATGCGACGGGGCGGCGCACGAGGTGTGGCGCTGCGGGCCGCCATTGGGCGCAGCACTGCGCTCCATGCCAGCTGGTGCCGCATCAGTGTGTCGCTGGCCCTTGCCATACCTGCGCCAGGCGCAGCACGAGCTGGACCCATGCTACAAGCTGCGGCTTGATTTGAGCCTTCTTCTTGGTCGCCATCGTGTCACCACGTGCTAGGCCGCCAGTGTAGCACGCGCACAATGCGCTGCGAGTGATATGCAGCCCTGTGGGGCCCGCTTTCAGATGTGGGCCTTGGCGCTCAAATTTTTCCAGCTGATATGCGACCGATTTCGCGACCAGAAAGCGGTTCAGGAAGCCCGGCTGCTGCGATAGCGGCTAACCAACAGCGAGGGTGACAAGCAGTAATATGCGGACGCCAAGCGCGAAACACCTCAAAATGTGATCTTGTAAAACACGCGCACGGGGCCAGAGACTCCAGCCTGCTGCCTAGTGGCGGCGTAACTGCTGCACTCGCGCAGCCACGTAGTGCTGCAGTGGAGTGCTGCTGGGGCATGCTGCAGGTCCTGTGCTTTGAGCATACAGAGTGACCAAAGGGTATCAGCGGCATTCATTCATTTTCTCTCCTCTGGCAACATCGCGGGGTTCAGCTAACCGTGCAAGGCAGCCACACTGCACAGTCACCGGCTGCGCCTGACATCGAGCCCGCCCGCAGCTCGCCACCCCGCACCTCGTAAATTTGCGGCTGCGCGGACGATGTATGCACGGCTGCGTCACCTGGAAATTGGTGGCTTCGAAAAGCAGGGTCGCTGTGGGCACGGGAAGTGGGCACAAACCCCGTTTACAGGTGAAGACTTCCCAGGCATTCGTCTCCAGCATCAAAAAGTCAGCATAGTGGAAACAGAGATAGCTCAAGTATCGCATGCGTGCGCGCATGAAGAGTGCTCTCTTGGCGAAAAACCCTTGGATGACATGGGAGAGCGGCGCGCAGCTGCCGTTTGCCCGCGAGATGGGTGGGGCGCGGCGGGGCTCAAGTTGAGCAAAGCGAGGGCAAAGTGAGGAGCGCCCAGGCAGGCAGGATGAAGCAAAGTGATGCGGCACGCGCCGCGGGGGGCCCAGCCACACAACTGTGTGCATGGGTTCGCGGCGAAACCTTGGACGGCGGCAGGGGGGCGCGCCGACGGGCAAAAAGCTTGCAACAGGCAGGGCGCGCTGCTCCGGTCGACGGGCGGAGCTCGGTGCGGTCCGACCGATTATGTACATAGCGCTCAGCGCGGCAGTGGCAGGCGTGCACGACACAGCGCAGCCCAGGCGGGCGTGCAATATTTGCATGCGGCTCGCTCCACCCCAGGCGGCAGCTTCCAAGGTGTGGGGGGCGCGCTCCACCCCTTCGATTACGAGACCTCGTGGCCAACTTGTCATGGGGGACGAGGGACGAGGGGACGCAGTCTCTCCCTCGGAACAAAAATCCCCACCTGCGTCCCTCTTTTGTTCCCCTCTCCATCAATAGCCCTCTGGGCCCGCGGCGGCGCAGGGCGCCTCTCTGTTTCTCTGCCAATGCACTGGCAGCGCGCCCTCGAAGGGCCGCCATCACGCGCCCTCGTTGCGGACACCCCTGCGGCAGTCCTGCGGCGACTGCGGCGGGGCGGGTGCGGGCCCGCATTGCCGCCGCGTCGCGCGAGGCTGCACAGGGCAGCCCACAGGTCTTAACGCACGTGCGCTGGCAGGCGGCGCGCGCGCCTACGCAACGAGCACGCGGCCGACAGGCCTGCCTCGCCGGTGCCGGCGCCGTCCCAACAGACCAGGGCGTGGCGTTGCGGCACGCGCGCAGGATGCACCCGTGGAACAGGGGTGCGTGCGCAGGCGTTGGCACACGCATTCTTGTGGCAAGTGTGTGTGCACAAGGGCAAATCAAGTGATGAGCCTGGCAGCATGCCGCTCTCCGCTCGCAGGCCGGGGCCGACTCAAAGAGTTCGTGCAACCAAGGTCCTGGCACGCGCCTGGACAGCCGCAGCACAGAAATGGCGCCCCTTTGGAGACGCGCGCTATCTCTGCTGTTCATACGCGCGACGGCGACACTGCGCCCAGCACCCAGCTGCAAGGGGCAACGCTGGTCTGGGGTGCAGCAAAAGTGGTTTTCCAAAAGCGATGGGTTTTGACAGGGACACATCACAAACTCTCGCCTGCACCGATCGGACCTGGATAATTTCCTATTTAGTAATGGGTGATCCCAAAAGCTCCCTGCCACTCAAGATGAAACGGTGCTGGACTGTCCCACGATGGGGGTGGGGGCTGGGCGCCTACAAGGCAGGGCGGGGCTGGAAGGCAGGCACACACGCGGGCTCTTGCCGCCCCCGCCGCCGCAGCATCGTACAGGGGCGGCAAAAAGTGCGATGGGGGCCCCGCCTCGGCGCACTCTGCTGCTTTTTGAAAGACCCGGCGGCCATGCTGGCGCTCGGGCCGAGGACGGCTGGCCCGAGGCCGGGCGCCGGCTTGGCGAGCCAGGGCGGGCCGCAGGGCGGCCCCGTCAGCGCCAGGGCTCCACTCCCTCCACGCACTCTATCACGTTGGCGTCGGGGTCCCTGAAGAAGATGGCGGGGCGCCCCGATGCGGAGCGCGTGTAGGGCACGCCGGCGGCGTCGAGCTTGGCGGTGAGCGGCCCGACGTCCGCGACGGCGATGCAGAAGTGGCGGTCGCGGCCGCCGTGCTGCCGCGGTTTGGGTGTTGCGAGGGGGCAGGTCAGGTCGGTGCGTGGAGTGTAGGTCAGGGGCGCAGGGCCGCGGGCACCGGGGGCCCCGACTCACCATGCGCGCTCGGCGAAAGGCGGTGCTGGGCCAGACACACGATGCAGCTCGCCACGCCCAGCCACCCTCCCTGCGCACGAACCCAATCCGCATGACCCATCCGCGCCCTTGCGCGAGCGCACTGGAAAAAAACACCACGCGGCGGGCATGGGGCGAAGAAAGCCCACCTGGGGCCGCGTGGCGGCGTCAGCGGGGTCCGGGTTGGGCAGCTCCATGAGGTGTATCATCTCGGGGCCGATCCACAGCCACGCGCCGCGGTAGGGCAGCTTGCTGTGGGGCCGGTCGGGGTTGATCTCCAGGCCTGCGGTGTCGGTGCGAAGGGGGGGAGGGTCGGAGGAGGCGTGGTGATCGCATGGGTGGAGCGAGCGGCAGGGGCGCGCTGGGTCAGAGTGGGGGAGAGGGCTGATCGCAGTTTGCGGGCAGGGGGTAGCTGCTCACGAAGGAGGGTGGAAGAAGCGTCGGACGCAGCAAGGGTGCAAGGCGTTGCGCCCGGTCGCTGCCGGCGACCACCTGCCTGGGCCCCTTGCGGCGGGCGCCACACAGGGATGCTTCCAGGCGGCGCCCCCAGCCAGGTGTCCCCGGCCGCGCCGACCCCCTTCCAAGCGCGCCCTTGCTGCGTTCGCGCTCTGAATTCACTAAGCAGCCGCTTCAACCACGGGCAGTGCGCGGCGCGCCCATGCGGCGGCGTGGCGCCAGGCCTCTGGCGCAGCCTGCGGGGCCACAGCGCGCGCGCACCGAGCACTCCGTGGTAGAACGCCATGGACGCCTCCAGATCGGCGCAGATCAGGGCCACGTGGTGCACGCCGTGCACGATGACGCGGCTGCCTGCGGCGCGCGGGCGCGGCGCGGGGGCAGGCGTGCGGAGGGGCGTCGGCGGTGCGCCGGGCGTGGCGGCGATCTGGGTAGGCAGGGGACACGTCATCGCCTCCGGGTGAACGCGATCGCCATCTTGGTTGCTGCCATGCGCGGCGAGCGGCAGCCAAGGGTCAAACCGCTCACTTGGGGCGCGGTTGGGAGTGGGCGCGGCGGTTTTGGAGGACGCCGTCGCGGTGTCGACAGCAACCTCAGCGGCGTGGCACCTGAGGCGGTTG